CAAGTGATCCTCCTGCCTAGGTCCAGAGTCCCTTTTTTGTCTTTGGATAATATTCATTCTTTTCCTAGCTGATTCATACTCCCTCCTTGACATCTTGTAACATAAATATTTACATACGAAGTTGTGTACTATTAGCACATCTTAGATGATGAAGGGATGACAGAGGAGATGAAAACAAAAATAAATTTGGTTAGTATTTATTAAAATAGATTCACATCAAAATAAGGAAGAAAAACTCCTAACTACTCCAGTCCTCATTTCTACAACAGCTAGTTATCTGTAACCACCATGTCCACTACCTAGTCCATATTTCTTTTGTCCTCAACAAGCACCTCAAGTGGTCATAGTTCCTTGCCTGAAGGAATGACCCAAACCTTCTTTTGTGAAGGGTCGACAGTCCAAATTGGGTTGTCGTGGTTCTCCACTGACCTTCATCGGAGGATACGGGCGTGCTGAGGGGCCCAGCACTCCTGCATTTCCTCCTCACCTCCATCGTGCGGTAACAACCCAATTTCCCCCAGTAGTCAGCATCCGTCACTTCTGCCAGCACTTTGCCTGTTGATGCAGTGCCACAGAGGCCAAATGGTGGCTTCAAGTTCCAGCTCAGTGGAACATCCACTGTGTCTCCTGGTGAAAGAATCTCTCCCTTTGTAACTAAGACCTCTAGACCAGCAGAGCCTAAAGTCACAGGGATGGGAAGCAGACATTTTACTACCAGACCATGAGGGTTAATGGAGAGAGGTGTCACTTTCCTTTTCCTCCCTTGATTCCTGGACTCACGAATCCTGAGTCTGGGAGAAACGTGCATGTGGATTAGAGCATATACCACACCCTGAAGGACAATGCCCCAGCCCTATGTGGCATCACCCCCAGCTGGCACTGTAAATGAACGTTCAAAAAACAATTTAACTGTTTGTCAAAGCAGTTGCTTTAAGACAAAGGGAAACGCGGTGAGACCAGTGAGTGCCACACAAAAACCCAGTGCCGCATTTTTGTGCAGTGGGTTTACGTATGTGGCATCTGGACACTTGTCCAGAGCAAGTGTCCATTCCAGTAGGGACAAAGTGCTGCCTGCCTCTTCCATAATGAAAGTGGTCCAATGTAATCAGCCTAACGCCAGGTAGCTGGCTGAGCAATTTGGGCAGTGATGCCACATCGAGGGCTAATTTTGTCTCTTCAGCTGGCAGATGGGGCACCCAGCAGTGGCTGTAGCCAGGTCAGCCTTGGTGAGTGGAAGGCCACGTTGCCAAAGCAGGCATCACCTCCATCCCCGCCACTGTGGCCACTTTGTTCATGACTCCACAGGAGTGGCCAGAGGAGGTTATCTGATGTCCAAAGAATGGGCCATCTACCCACCTGATGATTAAATCTTCCTTTACCATTTGGTGAACATTCACGTGGAACACAGATGTCTTCATACCCTGCCGTTCAGAGAGGTCTAGCCTCGTGCCTCTTCCTCAGACCTCCTTGATTGTATTTCTACCAAGTCCCCAACTACCCAGCCGAACCATGATTTGGTGCAGACTTATGCTTCTGTTCCTCTCCCCTTCCAGGCAAAATGAACAACCAGGTGCACTGCTCCAAGTTCTGCACACTAGGAGGATTTCCCTTCACCACTTTCTTTCAGGGCTGTGGTGCTGAGATGTGTACTTTCAGGTGATACATGTGTACCGTGCAGAGCTGTCTGTAAATCTAGCCCGAGAGTTGTCTTCCTTAGTCAGCTAATCACAGCAAATTCCCTACGAAGGTAGGGTGTGGCTTGAGAGAGAGTTACGTAGCAGAAATAAGGGCCATGGGCCAAGTCTAGGAACTCATCACAGGATCTTAGGGCAAGAGAAGATTAACCTCAGGCAGGGATGAATGAATGGGCTGCTTCTGATGCCCCAAAAGGTTTGAAGTCCCCAGCTTCATTGACATCTACCCAGATGACTCATCTCAACGTTTGGAATCACGTTCCTTCCCAACCAACGCTCTAACTATCAACAGAAGAGACTCCCGACTGTGGGGTGGGAATTCCATTTGTGTTGTAATTCAGTGCTTTGGTGATTCACCAGGAGTCACGAGCCTCAAGAGCACGTTATAACTCACAGCAAAATTTTTTGTAATAAAGGATTCACAGCAAAAGCCACAGGAAAAAAGATACGCATTGGTGGAGGCCAAGGGTACCCAGCCCAGGCTTCCAGTGTTCTTCCTTTCCAAGGGCATGCTGGAGTGCTCACTCTCTGACGGCGAACCACAGCGACAGGTAGAGCCTCCGCCCAAGGAAGCTCGTTTTAGTCTCAGGGTCCAAAGGGGCTGGCCCTGTGGGCATAACCTACGAATTCTTTCCTCATACTCTGCAGGAATAGGCTTGGGGCTCGGTTTTCAAAATCTCAGCCCCGCCACTGCACGAGGGAGTGTTTCTCTCAGGGCCATCCTAGAAGCTATTAGATCCCTTATGCTATGAATTAAAAACTAATATCCTAAACTCATACTTTTTTTTGTTTGTTTTATTGAGACAAGGTCTCACTCTGTTGCCCAGGCTGGAGTGCAGTGGTGTCATCATAGCTCACCGCAGCCTCTAACTCCTGGGCTGAAGCGATCCTCCTGCCTCAGCCTCCCTAGTAGCTGGGACTACAGGCGCATAACCCCACGCCCAGCTAATTTTTCTATTTTTTGTAGAGATGGGGTCTCAACATCATTTTAATTTTAAAGAAAAGTGACAATCCTTTGACCAAACAAATATACTCTTATAAATATAAGGAAATAAGGATGTACATAAAAAATATAACTATTAGGATGAATCAGCAAAGTACTATTTACAATAGCAACAAACTAGAAATCACTTGCAAACAACGGGGAGTTTGGTAAAGAAATGATGGTACAACCTTAAAAGAAAGTGGTCAGCAGCCACTAAAAATGTCACAGAAGAACATTTATTGACATGAAAAGGTGTTGAGGACATACTGATATGTCAAACAAAGTAGACGGTAAAATAACACACAGCAATGATTCCATTTTTGTAAAAAATATATTTGTATATATAGCAAAAAAAGATCTGCAAGGACGCTAACTTGATAACAGTGCTTATCCCTGGGAAGGGAGTATACGGATTTTTATTTTGTTCTTTGTTTATCCGTATTTCCCACTTTTTCTATAAATCACATCGTTTGCTTCTGTAATAAGAAAAAGTTAATCTATTATTATCCTTCATTTTGATTAAAACAAATGCATTTAAAAAATCTTATAGGTTTTTTAAGAAGCAGAAATGATTTTCAAGTTTCCCCAGAGCAACAGTTTTATCCTCTGCGGCAGCTGGTAAGAACCTTCATGCCTGTAGCCCGAGTCGGATTCAGGGAAGAACGGTGCTTCCTACGGCTTCGGGGTCCTCGCCTCGGCTCCTGTGCTCGAGATCCAACCAGCTCAGCTCCGGCCCGTCCATCCTACTCCTGCTGAGTCACCATTCTCATCATCTTCAGAGCCATGTCCCCTTGGTCAGAAGGAACCTAGGACGAAGCAGCATCTGAGTCAGTGCTCCTGGGGCTATTCCTGGGGCTGGGTCAGGGGCGACATCCTGAAACCTTGCTCCCAGAAGGCAGCCAGCTCTGGGATGGCAACCTGTGAGGACAGCTGCACCTGGGCACATCCCTTAGAGAGGGTCCCTTCTGGAAATGACCCCCGAGCTGGGCAAAAGCGCCTCTGGGCCTCGACTGTGTTGGGTGGCAGGGGCCTGGAGGTGGCGCTTAGGAAAGTAAGTTCTGCCCCATTTGGGGCTGGTCTGTTGATTCCCTTCTAAGGGCTCTGCTTATGTCACTGGGAGCCAGCCTGTTCAAGGAAGAAGGAAGATTCTAGACATTTTATAGGATTCTCTGTGCAGGAGGGATCCCGGAGTGGCAATGGAATGGAGAGGCCTGGGGGGAAGCTAACAGGAGAGCCGCAAACACCCACAAGAAAGCCTTTGAGATGGCATCTGATTTTTGCATTGTTATTCAACTCCTTTGTTTGCCCTCAGATTTTTAGAATAAATCCTTTAAAAACTTTCCTTGCCACATACCATCAAAAGGGGGAGGGGCAGAGGCCTCAGTTTCTCCTCTGCAAAGAGAAGGGTGGAGCGCATGGTCTCCCACTTCTGCACTTCCCTGGCTCTGTGATTCTCCACGGCACACCCCTGTCCTTGACGCTCCTGCCAAGGGTCCCCAGGAGCCACAGGCACAGTGGGGCACCCTAAAATGACATCTAATCAACCAAAGGGGAAGTGGTTTGGCGATGACTTAGTTAACAGTCTCCAAGGGCTATTTTAAGGCTGTCCCCAAGTGATCCGTTGTTCTATGTGACAAACCAGGAGGAAAGGGCCTGAACTCCAGCGCGTGAGCATGTGGCTACTTTGTGCCATCCTCTCCCACCAGCCTCAGCAGGGATCTCTCTCTAGCACAGGTGGAACATCCCTAACCAGAAAATCCAAAACCCAAAATGCTACAACATCGGAACCTTTTGGAGTGCCGACATGATGCAACGAGTGGAAAATTTCACCCCTGACCTCGAGTGACTGGTCGCAGTCAAAATGCAGGGGCACAACACACAGTTTATTTCGGCATCCCCAGGGGGTTACGGTGCTGTGCTCGGTAACGTTTTAATCAAAACCGGCATCACGGGAGACCGGAAGCCTGCCGTTGTTTCTTGTTGCTGTTGTCTAACAGCTGGTACGGGTGTTCTGGAGATGCTGCTATGTTGCTTAGTTACCCTGAACACACTATTTTTTCACTGCATTAACGGTATGTCATATTTTTACTGTTACGTACTTATGTGTGAATAAGTGTAAGAAATGATTGCTTCTCAGTGGCATATCATATAAATTCAGAGTCAGAAATGACAGTGATGCCAAACAACCACGGATTGTCCACATGGGTGGCTGAGATAGTGACCTTTGCTTTCTGATGGCTCAAGGTACACAAACTTTGTATCATGCACAACATTATTTAAACTATCACATAAAACCACCTTTGCGCTACATGTATAGCTATATATGAAGCATAAATGAATTGCATGTCTAGATCGGGTCCTATCTCCAAGATATCTCATTATGCACCAATATTCCACCAAAATATAAAAATCTGAAATCCGAAACCCTTCTGGTCCCAAGCATTTCGGATAACAGTGCTTTGCTCTAAGACTTCCTGCTGGCTTTTTCCCAGTCAATACTGGAGGTACTCAGATATTTCACCCTACCTTTCCATTCTGAATTCTGAAACACTCCACACAGTTGCTAGAGACATCTGTGTAACCACTAGATCATTGCCCACATTCCAGGCCTTTATCTGAGAGTTGTCGGCAGCGCGGCACCGCAGGCCCCTCCCTGCCCTGGGGACGCCGTGCACCCCTCTTCTCCCTCCCACATCTCTGGCTGCTCCTTTCTAGTCTCGTCTGCGGGCTCCTCTCTCACCTCCTGCCTCTTAAATACCGGTATATCCTTTTCTGCACTTGACTCCCAAACCTCCATCTCCAAGGACAAATATTTGTCTTGACTCCAGGCTCACACATATCAGTTTATATATTCAGTTGCCTTAAGGACATCCCACGTGGCTGTTTTACAGGCAATTAAACTCAGTTTGTGCAAACTGCCTCCATCCCAAACCGCAGTACTGGAGGAGAAACCCGGAAGCCACCTTTCATTGCTTTTCTGCCCCAAATAATTACGAAGTCCTGTCAATTCTCCCTTCGTACATGTGACCAAATCCATCCACTTCGTCCCTTCTGGATTATCCGGAAAGCCTCATCAATAAGCTCTCAGCCCTGGTCTTGCCCCATGCCCTTCACTGCTAGAATGTACTTCTTAGACAAATCTGACAATTTCACTCCTTTGCTTGAAACTCCTCCTTGGTGCCCTCCTTGGTGCCCTTGGTGCCTGAACCCCTTGGCATGATGTGCAAAGATCCTTTCCGCAGCATCCCCCCCGAGGCCTCACTGTCCAAAGGCATCTCTGGACAGTGTATGAGCTGCTCTCCGTGCTCCCCGACCTCCTCCTCTGTACCGAACTCACTCCTGCTCATCACGTGGGGCAGTCTCCCACACCCCCAGGCCTGGGCTGGCACCTTCCCTGGGCCAGGCCGCCAGCACTGCCCGCCCCATGCCTCCCTCCACCAGGAGCTCCTGAGCACAGGGACGGAGCACCACTCCCTGTTGTGCCCCAGCGCCCAGCACAGCACAGTAGGTCGCACTTGGGAGACACCCAGATGCCAGCTCAGTGAATACATGAACTAGAGAGAAAAGCTTGCAGCATCTTCCCTTCTGGGAAGCTTTAAGAGGAGACTAAGGGTTAGAGAGGTTAAGAGTAAGTTGTCCTTGGTCAGACAGATACTGTGAGACCAAGTCCATCAAACACCCAAGCTTCTCCTCTCTCCTGGACGCTGCTAACACCCTGGGTGGCACAATTCCTTGCTGTGGGGAGCCGTCCTGTGCGCTGCAGAATGTTCACCAGGACCCTGGCCTCTACCCACTAGGTGCCAGCAATGCCGCCCCTCCTCCCAAAGTATGGCAACACAAAGTGTCTCCAGACATGCAAAGTCCCCTGGAAAAATCAACCCCTGTGGAGAATCGCTAATGTCCCCAAGGAGTAGCTTGTGGTGAGGGCACTTTGGTCACCCCATAATCTCCATCAGCACCTCCTCAGCCACCCAAGTGAACACACTATGTGCTTACTGGGCAAACACAGCTTCACGACCCATCTGCCTAGGCCCACTCTCCAGCCAGCGTGTGGCCCCTCAGCCCCTTCTATACGGAGGTTCTGTCCCCAGGTATCGTGGAGCTAACGGGGGCAGGCCAGGCCAGAGGGGCCATCCTGACTCACAGCCTACAGGAACCAGCAGTCCCGGAAAGAGAGACCCTGTATGTAGGAGCCCAGGCCAAGCATAACGCTGAGGGAGGCAAGAGAAGCATCTGGGCCCTTGTGCCTCCTGCTGCTCCTTCTTTAACTCCTTTGCAGGTATGCGTCAGGGGTGGGGCGTGGGGGGCAGGATTCAGCCTCCACAATCTCCCTCAGCCCGGGAAACCACTCGATCAACACACAACCTAAGGGAAGACTGTAGGGACCGTCCCTGGGCAAAAATTGGCTTAAGCCCAGAGTGAGCGAAACTGGGTGTGCTCTCCTTGGCGCCAGAGGTCAATAGGCCCGCCCGGCCTGTTGACCAAACAGAACTATTCCTCATGACAGATAGCTTTATGACAGATAACCAAGCGCTTGGGGTCTTGCAAACAAGCCAAGGTGTCTCATTGTCCTGCATACAGTAATGAGATAAAGAAGTTAAGATGCAAACGTCTGCTTCCCTTAAGCTTCCCTTAAGCAATTGTCTGGAAGGAATGAAAATGTGTTTTCCTCAAGGCGCTCAAGATAGTCACGTACCAGGAAGTAGCTGCCGGACATAGAAAAAGTATATAAATAAAATGACTGGTACAAATCGAGTACTGCAGTCTTGTATGTCTTGTGTGTGTCTGTGTGTTTCTTTCTGTGTCCATCCCCCGTTCTGCAATCCGGGCCACGACAAAGACCCTGTGCTTGCCTGGCATGTACAGGAGTGGGACAGCCTCGCCGCCCGGCTCTACACCCAAAGCCCCCTCTGTCCGGAAATCCCAGAGAAACCACTGCCCAGAGACCCTCCCCGCCTCGCGCCCTGCCTGGCAACTCGGCCTCACAGAGCACTTCCCCCTGGCTTTCTCTCCCTGAACATGGTCAAGGAAAGATAATTTCCCCCTTCTTCCGCTAGGACAAACTGTCCCTTCAGGACAAACCGTTAAGGGGAAAGTAACTTATTAATTCATTTAAACAAAAAAGTACAGGACAGAGAGTCCAGCTTAACTCTCTCAGGAGGATTTACTCTTTAAAATGAGGTTCTAGACACAAAACACCAAAGCGCTAACAGTGGAATTTCATTAGAGAACTCAAAACACTCCCAAACCCGAAATACCTCTCCCAAGACCAATCCAGGCCCTGGACACACACGTCACACGCTGCCTGTGGCTGCCCTCTCAGGCACGACTGTAAGTCTGGAGCAAAAGCTCTCTCTCACCATGTGACCAGCTCTCAGAATCCAGTAGAAAGCCAGGTTCTTGTAGGACTTGACGAAAGCAGATGTCTCTGAAGACTTAGGGTCGCTGTACAGGGCCTTCCACTTCAGTTGGTTGAATTTGGGCAGCTCTGGCCACTTCAGCTTCCGCACCCAGGCCTCCTGACCTGGCGAGGGGGACAAAGAGAAGGGCCTGGCATTATCAACAGCTGGGTAGAGTAGGGAAAAAAAAAAAAAAACTAGGTGTTTTGCAAACTGCCACGTGCATAAAACTCACCCGGGATCTTGTAAAATGCAAATTCTGATTCGGGAGGACTGGGTGGGGCCTGAGCATCTGCGTTTCTTGCAAGCTAGTGGTGAGATCTATGCTGCTGGGGGAAACCTGACAGCTGCGGAGTCCAACTGTCTTTGCCTCTGCCTCTCCCACTGCCACCTGCTCTTTAGGAAGGGAACCGGGGACCTGTGCAGGCTGACAGGGCTGTCAGGAGGACCGCGGTGTCTCTGGACTGAGTACACAGTCACGGGGGTCACCTGGGCAGTTCATGGAAGAAATGCAGCAGCCTTTCAAATTGTCCTCAGTGCCCTTGCTTAAAAGTTGCAAGAATATTCAATCCTGCTGACTTCAAGAGGCCCATCATATCCGCCTGACCTCGTGCCTCGATCTGCCTGGGGTTCTGAGAACCTGTCTCTGGGCCCCTGCCAGGCCCTACTGAAGTCAGAAGTGAGCACACAGGTGGCAGACAACAGGGCAGTCCCTAGGATTCCACAAAGGCCATTTCCCCCGGGTCTTCAGGTGTAGAGGGTCATTAGGGTCGTTAGGGTTTAGTTTCACTTTGCTTGGCAGTGCTTAATGTCTACTGTGACTTTGCTCAAAAACAAGGCTTTCCCCTGGTTAAATAGTGCATTTGCCCAACTGCCAGGAAAATGTCTTCTTTTTTAGTTTTGTGGTGGGGCCGGTGTTGTTCTTTGCTTTAGTCAGACCTAAGGGCCTCACAACCTGGCAGGGCCCGGGCTCCTCTGCAGGATCACAGCCCTGTGCAGCTCCCCCGCTTCGAAGAGTCAAGGTCAGGCATGGATGGGCGTAACAGGAAGTGCCCTTCCTCCTGGCATTTCCACATCACCAACCCCAAGACCCACATGACGTGTCTGAGGCTGGTTCCCTTCCGGCTCAAGTGCTGGAACTGCTTCCACAAGCCCCTCAGAGTCCATCCCTACCCATGGTGTCGACGATGAGGTCGAGCTGCCCATTATACACGGTCACGTTGAGCCCGGTCTCCAGCAATGCATCCACGATGCTGATGACTGGCTTCATGAAGTCTCTCTCCATGTTCATGAAGACGTTGGTAGCCTGGCCTGCACACGGGGAAGGGGAGAGAGGCAGCAGCTTGGAATATGCCAGAACAAGAGACATCCTTCAGCCCAGAGCAAATTGCGCTCTGGCACCTAAAAGTAACTACCATACAACACCTTACAAAGACTCAATGCACAGGTGCTCACAAACAGGGACGAACCAGCCCAGAAATCCGTGCCTGACTGGTCAGGTGGAAAGGAAGCGTGAACAGCACATGTGGTGCATTCATGTTTCCAACGAGGAACAGACACCTGGAGAAGGCTACTACCCAAGGAAACGGGGAGGCGGAGACATAGAACACTCCTTAGACTGGGACACTCAGGGAGTAAATTGTGTTTTGGGCCAATGCTAGTTTTCGTCTTATACTGGGTAACACTAGGGCAAGGTTTCAAGTTCTTTTGTTTTGTTTTGGTTTTTTGTTTTTTTTTTTTTTTTTTTTTTTTTTTTTTTGAGACAGAGTCTCACTCTCTTGCCTGGGGCGAGTGCCGTGGCATCAGCCTAGCTCACAGCAACCTCAAACTCCTGGGCTCAAGCAATCCTACTGTCTCAGCCTCCCGGGTAGCTGGGACCACAGGCACGCGCCACCATGCCCGGCTAATTTTTTCTACATATATTTTTAGCTGTCCAATTAATTTCTTTCCATTTTTTGGTAGAGACGGGGTCTCGCTCTTGCTCAGGCTGGTCTCAAACTCCTGACCTCAAGGAATCCTCCTACCCTGGCCTCCCAGAGTGCTAGGATTACAGGCGTGAGCCACCGCGCCCGGCCCTTGTTTTGTTTTTGAGACAGAGTCTTGCTCTGTTGCCCGGACTAGAGTGCCGTGGCGTCAGTCTAGCTCACGGCAACCTCAAACTCCTGGGCTCAAGAAATCCTCCTGCCTCAGCCTCCCGAGTAGCTGGGACTATAGGCATGTACCACCACGCCTGGCTAATTTTTTCTATTTTTAGTAGAGACAGGGTCTTGCTCTTGCTCAGGCTGGTCTCAAACTCCTGACCTCAAGCAATCCTCCTGCCTTGGCCTCCCAGTGTGCTAGGATTACAGGCATGAGCCACTGTGCCCTGCCAGGTTTCAAGTTCTGAACAAGTGGGGCTACCTTATAATAAACCAAACCAGATCTAAACCAATTCAGAGCTGGCCCTCGGGAAAACTGAACAAGTGACAAGCCCCATGCAAGAGAGGCCCGGGTCAGCACAGCATTCCTGCCATTTAATAAATTCCTGACCATCAGCATCACCATCATGATAATGAACAAGCACAACAAGAGCAGCAGCTACCATTATTTGCCCATCGCTGTGCTAGGCAAGTATTTTATATGCAATATCCCATTTCTTCTATGGCACTACCCTGGGAGGTAAGAAGCCTTACCCTGTACAAGAATTTCAAGAAAATAAGGCCAAGAGAAGTAAGGGGACATGCCCAGGGTGACACAGCTAGTCTGCGGCAAGCTGAGATTTGAATTCAGGCCTGGCTGACTCCGGGTGTGCATGCTTCACCGTAAACTGGAACTCAAGACCTGGGGGTACTGGCCAAGGACAGTCTGTCCTTTCTAGCCCATATGTAGACAGATCCAGAGCCAAAGAGAGTTTTCTCTATCAGTAATCATCTGCAAAAACATAATCACCTTGCCCATCCAGCCAACTGGGCAGGGAGGGTCCCTGTAACCAGAGAAGCTGGGCTGGAAAATCCGGTCATAAAGATAGAATGAAAGAGGTGAGCTGAAAAGAGGTGCCCTTGAGGGCCTGACCTACACCTGGCCTTCTGTCATTCCTCACATCTCTCAGCGCTGTGACAGGCCCCACAGTTGTACCCATCCCTGCAGTTTCTGACACCATATTCTATCTTTTTGTTTGATCTAGTTAATTTTTCTTCACTTCTAAAAACCTCTAGGGGGTCAGGGGAAACGGAAATACCAGGTATAGGATGAGCTCCCTGGTGACTGCAGGTTGGGACAGGATGGTCCATGTCCCCTGAGAAAGCCAGGACCAGGGTCAAGTCTTAGCCTCAAGGCAGCAGCCAAGGGACCCCCTAGAAAGAGCCTCTTAGTCCCATAGTCTTGGGGTATCTTGGACACAAACGAGACAAAACCCTCCTCAGCTTGGAGTGTTTTCTCTCCAGAAATCTGGAATCCTGCCTGTTCGAGGTCTTTCTAGAGGACTAAGTAGGGACTTCTCCCAGATTTCCACCTGGCCCGGGTCTCCCTAAAGATTCCAGTATTTCCTCACTGTGGCCTTCAGCCCAGGATGCAGGAGATGCCAGGTCACCTCCGGCATCAGGATGGCTGGGATTGCTGGTCAAAACCTGTCCAAGTACATGGGTGTGTCTGACATCCTGCAAAGGATCTTTGGCTGGAAACTGCACTTGCAACCAACTGTGCCCTGGGGCATGGCTCTTTCATCTTAATTTTTTATTACGGTAAATTTCAAGCTGATCCCAAAGCAAAGAGAAGAGTACAATGATCCTCCAGTGCCCATACTAGGCTTCAACAATTGCTGACCCATAACCAATCATGTTATTTTTCTCCCAAATCCCTTCTCCACGAGCCTCTTATTGTGAACCAATTTTGACGTGTCATTTACTATCTCTGCGTCCGTTTGCTCATCCACAAAACGTGGATAGCAATATTGTTTTATCGGCAACCTACCATCACCACCACCAAAACTCATCCTACCAATTAAGGTCTCTGAATTCGCATCTCTCCTCTCCCTCCGACTCTGCAAACGGCGCTTAATTAGGTCACATAAGTACCTCCCCAGGAGCAATCCTCAGGAATGATTTTGAGCTTCTTCCTGATGGGGCCGTTCATGAGCTCACTTAAGGCATCCGATTGTAGGTGTCTCACGTGGCGCTGACAAAGAGGAACTAAAACCAAACTGGTACACGGTGAGTCAAAGGACTGGAAATAAGACCAAGAGGACATCTTTACCGAGCTGCTGGGTATACTGTGCAGCAACGCGGGGGTGCTTTCAGTCTCAGCTGGAAAAGCAAGTGTCACCTTGATTCACCCCAGACAGAGGAAAAAAATCAAAAACACACTGAAAGTGGAGAGGCTTTATTAGTACTGATTGTGCATTCTAGGTACTCTGAGGCCATTGGGATTATGCAGAACAGCCAGAGAAAATCATCTGGGAAGTATAATGGAGGGGTAGCCTGCAGCCTTTGTATACCTCCCACGCAGGGAAGATGCCAGGCCTCCTGCATCCAAAGCGAAGCTGCTCTGCTCAAAGACAGCTAACTAAATTCAGCCTCTCACAGAACTGATGTTATAATTCGGTACATAGAAGTTGGTTCCAAACTTCAAACATTATTCTAAGTGACAGAAGCCAGACACAAAAGACTAACTATTGTATGATTCCATTTATATACGATGTTCAGAAAACATCGTATATAAATGGAATCGAGAGAGACAGAAAGCAGACTAGTGATTGCCTGGGGCTGGGAGTGGGAACGGGAACCGACTGCAAACAGACGTGCGGGCTCTGTTTGGGGTGACGGAAATGTTCTAAAGCTGGATTGTGGTGACGATTGCACAATTTTGCGAATATACTAAAAACCACTTACGACGGGCGAATTTTGTGGTATGTAAATTATACATTAATAAAGCTTTTAAAAAACTGGGTTCTTCTTGCATGGAGGCTGAGACAGGGCTTACCAACGTGAGGGCTCACTCACCTAGGTGGCTCTGTGTGAACTCTAGACTCGACTTCATTGCAGACACAGGAGCACTTTTGGTTAAGATGTTATAGAAGTTCACTCCGTCTGTGTTCTGAAACAGAAAAGTATATGTGGCTCTTTGTTTTCTTTATTTTTCCATCATCAAAGTTGCAAAATAGAAAGGAACATGGCTCCCATCTTATCCAAGGACGGCTTTAGCTTTGTAAATTTGCTCAGATCAGAAAGAAACACAGTGCCGAAGGCTCGGAAACCAGCTGTGTCAGCCGACTCTCCAGGGAGTGGAGAGCAGCTCGCATGCGCAGAGTTCAGACCCTGCAGGAGAAAACGAAGGGCCTGCATGTTGATTTACAAGGAGAACAGAGCTGCTGAGCATCCTACACACCCCAATCCTTGGCCAGTGCCTTCTTCCCTCTGGCTCATTGGAGTCAGAGTGTTCCTTGGCAAAGGTCCAAATGAGGGAATATGTTGTCTCTGAACCACACCCCCACCTCTGCAAGACACACTCTTCCTTATAGAATCCATACATTCGGTCAAGGACAAACAAGTCTTACAGGACTGGGTGGCTTTCTGACCCTGTAAAGGACCGCTACATCATTGCTCAGACCCGACAGCTTCGTCATTTAGCGTGCGGTCATTTCCAGCTTTGTAGGGAGGCTCAGGATAGACCCCAATCCTGACAACACCCACCACGGGCCCTTGTACCCACCAGAAAAAGCCAAGCAGGCTGGCCCCTGAGTGTGTCCCCTTTTACCTGTTCAACGA